TGCATGCAAATCTTTATTCGATTCTTCTTGGTCGGCTGCTCGGTATTATAGTTGTTTTGAAGAAGGATTGGGGTGTCGTTCTAGCTTGTCATTCTTACTGTTTTGTCTCGACTTTTCACCGTTTGGACACTATAAATGGCTGGTTTCAGATGTTTTATATGCTACCCGGGTGCTGATTCATTTACTGTTTTTTGAGGGGCTTTGTGCCCCATTTAAATGTTGATTTTGGGGGACTTTACTTGCTACTTTAATGCTATTTGGAGGGTAATTAAATGGTGTTTTGGGGACTGTTTTGGGCTGATTTTGTTGCAATCTTGGAGCCGGTAAACTCCTTTTCTTGGGCTGATTACACACTGTTTGGGTATCATTTTGGGGTGCATTTGTTGGTTGATTTGGAGAGGTTTGCGCACTGTTTTGAAATGAGTTTAAGGGCTGTTTTGAGGTTTTTTGTAGGCTGGTTTGGAGCTGCTTGAGCACCGTTTTGACACTGTTTTGGCACTGTATTGGAGTGCTTTTGTTGGTCGATTTGGGGCAATTTATGTACAATTTTTTGGTGGTTTTGTGGGCTAATCTTGGAGCCCTTAAACACGAATTTTGAAGCCTTCAAATGCACAATTTTTGGGAATGTTAAAGGGCTTGTTTTGCTGCACTTTCTTGGGTACGTTTGGTGCCTTGTGGATTGCACTTTTTGGTTCAATTTTGTGGCTTTCGGGCTGTAATTTTCTAAGTCTATCTTGTGGCTTTTGGATTTCATTTCTTTTTATGTTGAATTGGAGAACTTTCGGGTCGATCAACACTGTCTTGGAATGGATTTAAGCATTCTTTTCAGAGTTCAATTTAATTACAATTGTTGAAAGATTTTAAATGCTTTTAGGTTAATTCACTTGCTATTTCCCCTATTGGCTTTGTTAGTTTTGGAAGTGGGTCGGCCTTCTCTTTTCGTTTGTTTTGTTACTTTTGTCTAATGGTTAAGCGAAAAGTGGGAGTTTCTGATTTAATTATTTGGAAAATACTTAAGTGAGGGTGAAATACCTTGAATCACTTTAAGCACAAGTTAAAGCATAATCTTCCTAGATTTTAGGAGCACACCTTAGGTGAGAGACCATCCACCTAATTCTCAGCATAGGCTTCCTAGATTTTAGGAGCACACCCTAGGTGAGAGCCCACCCACCTAATTCTTAGCATAGACTTCCTAGATTTTAGGAGCACGCCTAAGGCGA